TGGCATTTAAGATATTTTAATAATATAGGCTTTTTTTTCTGACAATGAGACATTTCTGATCCTGGCAGACCAGTCTACCACAGAGAAGGTAATGGGCATTGAAGAAACTCTATATGGAGTTTACTCTCCTTGTGTAAAAGTAAGCCACTGGGCAAGAAAATGCCCTTGCCCTCAACTGCTGACTGTATGCTGTCCTAATTGGACAAGTAGGAAACAAAGGAGAGTGACTGCCAAACATTGTCAAGACAAGGTAGGACAGCCCTTCAGAATATCCTGCTTCACAGAAATGTATGTTGACTATGCTAGGTCTGTAGGCTGAAGATGGGTGCCTCACAGTTGCAGAAGAACTCTGTGTGACTGTCCAGATAGCCATCTGTTTCTGTCATTTCTCACAATTTTCAGAAGTCTCTTGACTGCACTTCCTGCTTACTCAGTTAATATTTCTTCCTTCTAGAGTCTTTGAGGGAGTTGAAGACTGGGTATTTATAATTATAGCTTTCCTTGTTTACCAGATGCAGAAAGCAAGTTATGATAGAAAGTAAATTAGGTACAAGACTTTGGACTCACCAAGACAGGATAGATATGGGAGTATTTTCTCTGAATTTGTCAAGTGCAAATGGACTAGACATTGTTGATGTATTTATTACCTGTATATATTAAATATAGTTACTATACTTATTGTATATAGTTTTTCTTATGTTAGTTATAGCCTTCTTTTTTATTTTAGATAAAAGGGGAAATAGAGTGGTATATTATTTGTGTTTTAATAAATAAAGCTTGCCTGAAGATCAGTGCAAAGCAGCTACACTAGTCAACCACATGGACCAGGCAGTGGTGGCACACATCTTTAATCCCAATAGCCACACTAGTTATCCATAGAGTTTGGGCAGTGGTGTTATACACCTTTAATCCCAGGACTAGCGTGAAATATAGGGCAGGATGAGACAGAAACTCACTCTCTTTTCTGTCTGAAGATTTCATAGAGGTAAGAGCTCCCTAGTGGCTTAGTTGCTTTGCTTTTCTGATCTTCAGGTTGAACCCCAATATCTCTCTTGGGGTTTTTTATTATTCATGCTACATTCAGAGATTCTCTGATGCTCTGTAAAGAAAGTTTCATTACATATATGTTATAATGCTGATCTCTTAGTGCCTTACAGACTTTAAAAGGCATGAAAATCAGGTCTGATAATCTTGCTAATTAAAACCTGAACATGAATCTGCTTATTTTGACAAAATAAACATTTCAACTCTTGTATATATGAGAAATTCTCATACATAATCTATTTGTAATAACAAGAACTGTTCTCTAAATTTGTGAGTTAGAAATTTTGATTTTTGTGGCAACAGGCTTAAATTAGATTTGCTTTAAAATATCTAAGTTTTGCTTTATGTGTAGTTTCAGTATGGTTCTGTGTCATGATGCCAATTTTTACCACCCATATGCGTAGATGTCTCTTAAACTATTCTGAAGATTTAGTAGATACTCGATATTTATAAATTGTCCACAATTTCTTAATTTTCAAAACAGTTTTATTTATGTCAATTGTGTTTTGTAAAGCATTATAGTTAATGCCTGTCTGTTACTTGATACTTGTGTTTCTGTAAAGCCTTAATATGGAACTTTAAACAGTCTACATACATGCAGCTTCTGACAAAGGAGCCTGAACAACGTTGAGATGTAGAACCTACCCATAGGATAAGCAGAATATGTGTTTGATTTAAAAGCCATTTCTATATCTCAGTTGCTTAAATTGCACCTAGAGGGTTTATTGGCACTAACTAACTCCTTGACATCTGTCACTTGTTCCCAAGTGTGGGATCAAATCAGACCAACCAGGATGAATCCTTCTCTGGCATCATGGGATAATGGGAAACACAACACAGATGGTTAGTCAGAAATGTCTGCAGAGAATATTTTTCAGAAACAAGTGGGGAAGTTGTTAGAGTTCTGGGGTACAGGGAGGTCCCTGGATCTCTTTGACCCCCTTCCCAATGAACCACACTGGATAAATCTCCCTTTTCAACTTCCACTATTAATTTGACTATTTTAATTAGTTTGTTGAGAATGGGATTGCCAAAGGGCTTGAGGCACTGGCTTTAATGACCAAGTTCAGTAACAGAGTCATGAGATATAAGGGTTTTGTAGATTTGATAGCTATAGCCAAGAATTATCTCTTATTTTATAATTGTAAAGGGAAATGAGAGTCCAATATTGTACAGCTACTTTTCATTAATAAAATATTTAATTTTTAAAAATCCTATCTAACTATATTATCAGAAACCTTAATATTTAATCATGAAATAAGGACTTTTCTTTGGGGGGGGAGCATTTTATTTTCTTATTTTTTGTTTTTGAGACTGGATTTCTCTGTGTAACAACCCTGGCTGCCTAGAACTTGCTTTGTAGACCAGACTGAATTTGAACTCCCAGAGATTCATCTGTCTCTGCCTCCCAAGTGCTGGGATTAAAGGCATGCACCACCAAGTCCTGCTGGAATATGGATTCTTAAGGTAGAAAACACCATGAATATTGTCATTAGAGATTGATGTCTTTTGAATAATCTGGATAAAAAAAGAGTTAAGAATAACTCTTTTGGTGTCTCTGATAGAATCAATAGAGTTAAAGTTACCCAGAGGTAGTCAAGTAGGCCTTAGATCCAAAGCCTTTGATTTATTGTTTCTTGACAATAAAAAAAAATGTTTTTTATATGACTCCAATGACTCATGGTAATGATCACTTGCAAGTAAAGACGAATGGACTAAAGGGTAAACTGTGTGATTCAGTGGGCCACACTACAGCCTGAGTGTGAGATTTCTCTGTTTCCCTCCCACCCCCATTATATTTGGTCTTTGGCTTTTCTTTTATATTGTGTTTTGTTTCATGGGGGAGTTTGCAAGAGGAGAGGGCAGATGCGAGGGGACAGGGAGATAAGTGGGATAGGAATGCGTGATGTGAAATCCACAAAGAATCAATAAAAAGAATGAAAAAAAAGTTTTTTTTATGTGTATGGGTATTTGCCTGCATGTGTATGAGTAAAAAAATGAAACATGACTGCTCTAAGCTATGGTTTGGAGGAGGTTTATTGTAGATACAGGAGAGAATAGCCGGAGGCATCTGAAAAGATCCAGACTGAACATGGCCTGCAACTAAACTGAGTAATGAAAGGAGATAAAGAGAGAGCAAGAGGAGAGGAGGGGCCAAGTGGACAAAGAGAGAACCAGAAGTGGAGCCAGCTAGGAGTCAAGAGATGAAGATACCAAAAGGACATGTAGCCGAATGGCTAGGTTTTCTAGGGAAGAGAAGCGGGGGAAGGGTAATGACTGACGCTCAGGGGATAGAGACATTTAGGATAGGGGATGGGGTATGCCAGCCAGAATGACTCTGTTTAAGTACTAGCGATGCTGAGAGGTGTTGGGAGAGCTTCGTGGGCCAGCATCCACTTTGATATGTTTATAGGCACCTCAGTTAGCCATTTGTCCAAGGTTTCTTTGAGAGTCCCACCTTTTTGTTGATGATAATGGGCAACTTAATCTCTTCTGTAACTACTTCCTGCTGAAATTGGGATTTTTGATGTCAAGACCTAGGAAGGCTGGGATGCTGGTCAAAGCCAGGAAGGGAGAGAGGAGTGCAGGGGGGTATACTGGGCGGTGTGTGTATAGGGGGAACACATCGATTTTGCTTGCTGCCCAGGCTCTAGGGGACCACTTGGGGTTAGTGTGGTGTGGGCTGCTTTGGAGAAGTCTATGATGTGGGAGCTCCCTAACAGTGTGTAAGCAAGAAGAGGGCATTGTATATCTTAGAGTTGGAGTTACATACACTTGTGAGGCTCCATGTAGGTACTGAGAACTGAAACGATGTCCCCTGAAAGAGCAGCTGTAGTGATATCTCATTTTTATTTTAATAAATAAAGCTTGCCTGAATATCAGAGAGTAAAACAGCCACATCAACATTACCACAGCATTACCAACCAGGCAGTGGTGATACAAACCTTTAATCCCAGTAGCCACACTAGTTTGCCATAGAAATCGGTGGTAGTGGTGCACACCTTTAATCCCAGCCCTAGAGAGGAATAGGAGATAGGAGGAGACAGCTCTCAGACACATTCTGAGATTCCTGGAGGCCAATTGCCATTTCAGACTGAGGTAGAGGTAAGAGCTAATGGCTGACTGTTTTGCTTTTCTGACCTTCAGATTGAACCCTAATATTTGTCTCTAGGTTTTTATTGATCGTGCTACAAGCAGCAAGTTCTCTTAATCATTTAGTCATTTCTCCAGTGACTACACCATTTTCAATATCAACAGTAACACAGTAACCCAATTGGGTGGACTCAGTTGATAGTTGCCGCTCTTTCTTACGTGTAAGAAGTTTGGCTTTAGCTCTTAGAGTTTGGGTCTAAAATAGATGTACCACAAAATCAATTCTTTTTTGGAAGATTTAAAGAAAGTCTTTGCCGGCCGGGCCGTGGTGGCGCACGCCTTTAATCCCAGCACTCGGGAGGCAGAGGCAGGCAGATCTCTGTGAGTTCGAGACCAGCCTGGTCTACAAGAGCTAGTTCCAGGACAGGCTCCAAAACCACAGAGAAACCCTGTCTCGAAAAACAAAAAACAAAAAACAAAAAAAAAAAAGAAAGTCTTTGCCAGTTTAAAACCTGGAATTGAAAACAGTCCAAATGACACTGAATAATGAAAGAGTTTTAGAATGAAACTATCAAAAACACTGAATCTTTTAAAATAAGAACACTCTGTTCAAATAAGGCAGGACCCTGGGTAAATAAACTCTTTTAAGAAAACATGACCAATGAAAGGACATGAGGTAAATCTTCCCTACTAAATGCTAAAGAGCTTTTGAGTTTTGCTCAGTTCTTAATGTAGTTAAAACTGAGAATTATTTCACTTTTCTGTCAGCCTTGAGAGTATTGGGTTTCAGATGGAGCAGAGAGGTTTAAGAAGATGCTGGGATGGATCACTGAGGTAAGAGGGGCATATTTTTTTTTTCCCAGGGACTGGAGAAATTTAATAAAAAGAAAATAAAAAAGAGAGTCGGAATCCATCAGTCTTCTCTGCTAGTCATCCTCGCCTTCATCCTCCTCTCCTTCTTCCCCTTCATCATCATCTTCATCTTCATCTTCTTCACCTTCATCTCCTTCTTCATCAATATCTTCCAAGCCTTCTTCTTCTTCATCATCATCGTCATCATCTTCTGCCTCTCCCTCTTCATCGTCCATATCAGGAACTAAATAGTACTGCAAGGGGTTTGGCCAAATGTCATCTTTGATGACTTCTCCTAACTCATCTGCACCTGCATCAGAGTGGTCAGTAAACCAGGTAAAGAAGCTCTCTGGCTCATCGTGTTGTCTCTTCCTGCTGGCCTTATTCTGTGTTTGACTCGAGCGTTTTGTCAAATCCTTTCCAGATTTCCATTTGATTTCAGTGGACTTTGAGGATGGGTCACCACTCTCATTCAGATGAAATTCTTTGGAGAGAACTTTATTTTCGAAGTAGGGATTTTCATCAAAATAAAAATCTATTCTGTAACCTGATTTAATGTCTTCAAATTCTGTTACTTCAACTCTGGTTAAATAATGCAGAGCCTCTTCGTCTTCCTCCCCAAGCAGTGCAGACACTTGTGGATGGTTGACAAATGTGGTTACCCAAAAATTTGGGATTTTAGCGATCAATTCTGACCTCTTCTGAAAAAACGGTTGGCGGAGTTTATTATATTTTTGTTCTACTTTTAGTATTTCCTCACTTGCTTGTTCATTAAGTCTGTCTATTTCATTTTGTACTTCGTCAATGTGTTCAATTGCTTCTTGCTGTTCTTTTTCTCCCTTCGGCAGGCCGGGAGAGGCAGACTTGTCAAGAGGGGCATATTTTAAGACTTGTTAGTGCCATATACAGACAGATGGAGGGGGGGTTGGCAGAAGTGGAGAAGGTCAGAGGAGAGTTCAGGCTCAGGCCCCAGTCACAAACAGCTGGCAATCAGAGAGCATTTGGCAGAAGTGAAAGTCTCTTGTTAGGGTCCTCTAAAGATGGAGGAGTTTCACAGCAAGAGCCCGCAGCTGGGCAGGAGGCAGGAACAGATGTGTTTGGTGTGTGAGAAATCCCATATTTTGGCTAGGGACTCAGTGACAGTGCCCCGGGAAGACGCCTGTGACAGGGTTCTGACATTCTGTTCTTACAGGGGTACAGCTCAAGTTTAAGGTAAGAAGCATAAATCTAAGCGCTCATCTCCTGAAGTTTTGTAGCACAAGGTTCTTTGGAAGTACCCTATAGCATCTGTTCTGCAGTACAAGGTTCTTTGGAAGTACCCGATAGCATCCCTTCCCTCCAGGATAAAGGGACTCTTGGATGTGGTGTATATTTTAATTGGTAAAGCCACTCGATTTTAGCTTTCATTCCTCTAGTACAGTGCTTCTCAACCTTCCTAATGCTGCAGCCCTTTAATACAGTTCCTCATGTGTTGTGGTGACCTCAACCATAAAATTATTTCCGTTGCTACTTCATAACTGTAAGTTGACTACTGTTATGACTCATAATGAAGTATCTGATATGCAACCCCTTGAAAAGAGTCGTTTGACCCCAAAGTGTTCGCGACCCACATGCTGAGAACCATTGCTCTGGTGTTGCAACTCCTGACAGCTCACTGAGCAGGTTCTCAGTTTTTAAAAGTCCGTTTAAAATTAAAATTTAAAAATGTTCCCCTTTAACCACAATGGTCTATATAGTCCTTTGCCATTTTTACATTTTCTTTCTTTTTCTATTTTCTTTTGAGAGATGGTCTGTCTTGTAGCTCTGGTTGTCCTGGAACTCACTCTGCAGACCAGGCTACCCTTGAAGTCACAGAGATCCACCTGCCTCTGCTTCTCAAGTACTGTGGTTAAAGGCAAGGGCCAAACAAACAGCTTTGTCCATGTTTGGAAGATAGGATCCCCAGGAGTAGTTCTATAAGGAGACTACTAATGTATCCAGAAGAAGGAGGCCTTAGGGATGGCTTTGGCTAAGGAAATAGAAAATTTTAGTCAATTCTGGCAATTTCTTAGGGTCATCTAAAGTTTATTCAACCACCAATCTATAAAACTTGAGGTCATAGATTCAATTACAAATTTGTGCAGTATTCGCGTTTTGCAACTAGACATTTGTCCACTAAAGTAAATCTTAACTTGTGGCTTTCACAACTTACTTACCAGGCACCTTAACTTCTAGCTGTACCTAATCTTTTCCATTTTGGAAAAATCTCTCACTTTAACACAAAATAATTTTCAATCTGAAATCCTTTCTTATCCAAGAGTGTATTAAAACAAATCTTGGGCCGGGCGGTGGTGGCACATGCCTTTAATCCCAGCACTCAGGGAGGCAGAGGCAGGCGGATCTCTGTGAGTTCGAGACCAGCCTGGTCTACAAGAGCTAGTTCCAGGACAGGCTCCAAAACCACAGAGAAACCCTGTCTCGAAAAAAACCAAAAAAAAAACCCCAAAAAACAAAAAACAAATCTTGGGGCTAGGGAGTTGGCTCAGCCCTGACTGCTCTATCAGAGGACCCAGCACCCACATGGTGGCTCACAACTATCAGTAACTCCACTTCCATGGGATCTGGTGTCATTTTCTGCCTCTGTGGATAACCGGCGCATTCATGGTGCACAAACGTACAAGCAGGCAAGACCCTCAGACATATGTAAGAATTATCAATCATGAGTCTTTTCAAATACTACAAAACTTGCGTTGAAGGATAAGGAATTAAGATCTTTTTGTCTTCTTTACCATGTAAAACTTGCAAAGTTTTTATCTTCCCCACCCAGGAAAACCTTTGTTTACCCAAAGGCCCACTGTCTAGAAATTTCATGGGGGGCAGTGACTCCTTTCTTCTTCCTGTCTTCTTTCCTATGCACCAGTTCCTTTTAGACTAGCCAGCTGCAGAAGGTTGTGAGTTTGGACTCCGGCCAAGGGGGAAAAGACAGTGTGACCACCTGCATTAGAATCAAAACCAAATGCGCTTCCTGTCTTGGCATGTGTTTGCTCTTTTTGAGTACACCCTCTTGATTGAGAGGAAGGTTCGCCTTGTCCAGACATTTCAGTTGGAATGGTGGTCTCCTTTTTTTCTTCATATTTAAAAATAATCCTTAGCAAAAATATATTTTGTAATTTTTATATCACTTTCTTCTGTAATAGTTTCTGTTTTATTTTTTCCTTACAAAATTTAGAAAACATTTCTTTCTTTTTTTCCTTTTCCTTTCTCTCCTCTCCTCTCTTTTTAAACATGGTCTCTCTGTGTAACACTGACTGTCCCAGATCTTGCTATGTAGACCAGGCTGGTCTCTAATTCACAGAGATCTGCCTGCCTTTGCCTCCAAAGGGCTGGCATGAAAGGCATGTACTACCACACCCAAAGGCGTTTCTTTCTTAACAAAATTACCGCATACTCCAGTGAGAACTCAGAAAGCTGTATATGGATCCCAGGCAACACAGGATCTCATTTGGGCCTACAAGGCAACTGGGAGTGGGATAAAAGTTTGACATGTCTGTCTCCACTCTTTCTCTCTACTCTTTACTCTTGTGTTATCTGTTCATTCACCTTTGTAGTGGACATGGTAGTCCTTTCAGTGAGTCATGGGTGATAAATAGCATTGGTTCATGAGAAGTTGAGTCAGGCAATAACCCCTAGCCATAAAGAATGGCTTAGGCCACCTGACCATTCACCTGCAGAAACAATACACTCAGCTATGGGAAACAACCTACCCTGTTCCCAGTCTAACCACAAAAAAACAGCTGTGACTTCCTGGTAACTGACTGTATATGTGTGTTTGTACATATACATGCATGCCTCCAGCCTCTCCAGATGTGCTCAACCTGTAACCTACAAAAACACTGGAATGCCTTCATGTTCTGATAAAGCAGTCTCAGCCTGTTGAGATTGAGTCTGTCTGCTCCTCCACCTCATTTTTCTTTTGTATGTATGTATGTATGTATGTACGTACATACGTACGTATGTATGTATGTATGTATTTTGGCTTTTCAAGATAGGGTTTCTCTGGTGCTTTGGAGCCTATCCTGGAACTAGCTCTTGTAAAACAGGCTAGCCTCGAACTCACAGAGATACACCTGCCTCAGCCTCTCTCATTTTTCTTATAGTGTATGTCTACTTGATGTAGGTGGTTTCCGGTGTTAAGCTAGCTGTGCGGGAGCCGTGTGGGACGAAAAGCAGGCCTGCTCACCTCCTCACTACATCTACTCAAATTATTTTATCTTTCTTCAAGGCTGAAAGTACCTAGGTAAGTTATTGCCCTAAGTAAAGGGGTTGAATTTATATTATACTTACGTTAGAAATAAATGAGAATCATCTCATATCTCTATGACTTTAGGGTTCCTCTTGTATGCTCCCAAGTGTAAGAAGCAATATAATTGATCTATTTCCAATACCTTGAGGCACCTTTACATAGACTTGAGTCTACCAGATCACAAAGAAGCAGGAAGCACTGGGCTCTTGTCTTCCCTTGCTGCTGGTTGGTGCCTGCCTGCCTAGGTGTTTTTAGTTTATTTTAGGGTTGAAAAGTTGCAAACAATTTGTTAGTGACTGTGTTCATATATCAGGGAAGTGGAAGGCATGTTAAGGCCCAGTTATACATTAGATAAGGCAAATTGAAACTGAAACAGAGCATAAAATAAACAAGCTGTGTGACATGAGGTGGGTGTTAGGCCAGATGCCAGGAAGCGTCTACTTCACAGTAGTACCTAGCCCAATGGAAAGAGACAGGGCAGGGAACTTCAAGTAGGGCAATAGCAATCACTTTTGCGCCAAGTTAGTGGACCAGCCATTTTTGCCTGTGTTTGGGCTGACACCCAGCTTTTCAGAAATGATAACAAAGTTGCCTTACTTTCACTGGGTGTACATAAGAAACATAGTTCTTGCCTCAAAAGTCATAAGAGATCATTTATTCTGCAGCCAAGAATGAGTGCCAATGTCCTGGGAACACAGATTTCGGTTATCCCATATTTTATTTCTAACGTAGAAGCAGTTCCATGAACTTTCTATAGCGACAAAGTCATAAATCAAGGCATTTTAACATTAATCAGTGGAAGCATCACAAAGTCCCTAGGGGCCTCAAATTCACCAGGATCAAGAGTCATGGGCTTTGGACCTGCAGCAGCCTAACCCCTCCACATCACTGAACTTGTAACCTGTCAGGTTTGTAGACACAGCTTCTTTCCAGGAATTCATGTTCATGGATTCTCTTGAACATGAATTGAAGTCTCTTGAATTCATTATTACGGCACTAGCGTCTCATACTAAGCATGCGACAATTGCTTGGTTTTAAGATGGCTTCCCTCCCCTTCAGTCACTTTTTAAAAATTAAGTCTTTTAAATATCTGTATCTTTTTAGGTTTGGCCTTGATAAAGACCCCGAAGAACTTATTTTTCAATGGAGGCAATAGCAGCAGTAATATGGAGAGAGAACACAGGCAGACAGGCCAATATCTCCTACAGTGTGGATGCCATAATTACAAGTTCAACATTTATCTTAATTATGCTTATATTCACTCAGACATTTTAAATTAAATATGCCAAGAAAAGTAATTTTGTCAGATAGCAGGTTAAAATATAAAAAAGAAGTGGCCACATATTTTGTTATTTGTTAGTTATTCTTAGAAATTCTAGGGGCAGCTTGAGTTTTGCCACATCCTGTTTTAGTCAACAACAAAATGACACATTCGATGCTTACTCCTGATTGTTAACTGTGGAGAAGCATCAACTAAAAGGCACGCCTCCGTGAGAGTCTGTGACTGCATGTCTCCAGGAAGGGTTGCCTGAGGGTGAAAGGCTTTCCACAGAGGGTGACGCATTCCAGGGGCAGCCCAGAATGAAGAGACAGAAGAAGGAAACAGAGATGCTTGCCTGTCTTCTCTTCCTGCTGGTAGTGGCTTCTGTCTCGCTGCCTTGGCTGTCCATGATTGACAGACTCTAGCTGGGTTGTGGCCCTACTTCAGCTAGGGTCTGTGCTGATGTTCATGGCTACTGTTGCCATTGAGGACCACGCTGATTCCAGGAGTCTGGGCCACCACTTGGGGCCATGTTGGTATCTGAGGGCTGTTCTGCCTCTAGGGCCATGCCAACCTGGGTGGTCTTCACTGCCACCTGGGGTCATGATGACATCCAGACCCGAGCTGCTGCCGAGGATCATGTGATGGTTCTATGTGGATCATGTGGTTCTGTGGTCCTACTGTAGCCAGGGTCTGCGTTGACATCCATGGTCCAAGCGGCCTCTAGGGTCCACGTGGAGGCCTGGGGTCTAGACCACAACCTGTGGCCTTGTTGAAGTCTGAAGGCCATGCTTCAGCCATACAGATCTGGGTGGCCTGTAAAGCTACCTGGGGCCATGGTGTCATTTGGTACTGGGTTGCTACCTAGGGCCAGGGTCTTTGTTGATGTCCAAGACATCTGTTACCATCAAAGGCCATGCAGACGCCTGTGGTCTGGGGTCATTTTGGTGTCTGAGGGACACGCTGTGACTGGAGCCATACCAATCTAAGTGGCCTCTCCTACTACCTGGAGCAATGGTGACATCCAGACCCCGCTGCTGCTGAGGACCATGTCTGGGTCCGTGGTCCAGCTGCAGCTGGGGTTTGTGTTGATGTCTGTGGCCTGTGTTATTTCAGAGGGTCTTAGACACCATTAATGATGAAATCAGAGGGCCATGCTAAGTGGCCTTGCCCTTCACTGGCCCTAAGAAAGCTGACCTCTGCACTCAGGAGAGATGCCCCCACCCCTCACCACAGATGAGGGAGAAATGACCCTGAAGGTATAGGCATAGGGGAGCTGTCTCCACCACTTGCCTGAGGGGGCAGCCCCAGTGGCCCAGACTGACCAGCTCAGCTACCGCTCAGGCCCACAGCTAGGCCTTGGGTTGGCCCACCCTAATATCCCCCATCTAGAACCTGCTGGGGCTCTTGAAGGGACTGGTCTGGTGGAACAATATCCGGAGGATCTCCAATACTTGGGATGGCCCCGGGATATCTGAGAGGAGTTTCAATGAAGATCCAGTGTTGACGTGTGCCAGAAACCAGCGGTCTGGAACTGGACCAGTGATTTGTTGCAATGAACATTTGCTAGTAAAGCTGATTGGATGAAAGTGTGTACTGTGTGACACACTACGGTTCCCAGTGCCACCAGGAGGAATGAAGAGGTGCTGGAAAGGCAGGAAAGATGGAAGAACAAAGAGGTTTTTTGGGGGTTTGTTTTGTTCTTGTTTGTTTGTTTGCTTTGTTTTGTTTTGGTTTTATTTTTTTTAATTTTCTTTTGGGGGTGCTACAGGGGTGAGGGGAGGATGTGGAGGGACTGGGAGATGAGTGGAATTTGGGTAAAAGATGAGAAATTCTCAAAGAATCAATAAATAATTATGTTAGCTAAAAAATAAAAACCGTATATAAAGAGAATATTTTTGTTCATATATTAAGCAGATATTTGTGTTTTATTTCTAGTCTGTAGCATTGAACAAGATTATAAAAGAAGGAAGTGTTTTTCAAACTGTTTTATTTTAAGTTATGTGATATTTCAAGACTTAGAAGTCCCCAAGGGACTTTGCCATTGTTCTGGGATAATAGTGATTTCAGTTATACATGAGATAGTTACATTAGGCAGACAAAGACATGTGGCCACATGTCAAGTTGACAACACTGAATGAAGTTGAGGACATGACCACTCCTATATGGTTGAGGTGAAGGGTTTTATTGTAGATATGAGGGAGAGTACAGCCAGAGGCATCTGGATGGTCCAGACTGGGGAAAGTGGCAAACTAAACATGACCAACAGACTGAACTGAGCCATGAGAGGAGAGAGCGAGAGTGAACGAGAGAGGAAGACAAGAGAGAGAAAAGAGGAGTGAGAGTAAGCGGATCAAGAAATGAGCTGAGGACCAAGAGGCCATGAGTGACCAAGAAGCCAAGAACAGAGGACCAAGAGACCAAGAAAGTGTGTGGCCAAGGTGGATGGTTTATATTGGAAAGAGAAGGTGAGGCAACGGAGAGGGGCACAGCCTCTGGGCTACAGAATCATTAAATCCACAGGATGGAGTTGGAAAAACTTACTCTGAGTGAGATAATTCAGGTACAGAAGGACAAATGGTGCACGTTTTCTCTCCTATGTGGTTCTAATCGCAAACATTTTGTTTTGTGCATTTAGCTTAAACACAAGTAGAATCCAGAAAAGGCCGGAAAAAAGAAAGGGGCCTATGATGGTGGGTTAGCATTACAGAAAAAACGAAAGCATAAAGGTGGAGTCCTGGGAGCAGAAAGACTAAAACAGGAAGAGGGATAAAGTACAGGGGAAATCGGAGGTCGGTGGGGGGCATAACCCGAAGTGAAATAGATAGGGATGTGTATTTTTAAGGTAATGTCTGCTTCAGGAGTTTCCAGAGTTCTTTTTTTTTTTTATGTTTTTTATTTATTTATTTATTTTTTTATTGAGAAAAGGAGAAAAAAAAAACAAATTTCCTCCTCTTCCCAGCCTCCCATTTCCCTCCCCCTCCTCCCACCCTTCTCCCCCTCCTCCCACCCTTCTCCTCCTCCCCCCACTCCTCTCCCCCTCCCTCTCCA